CCTAACATTTCTGTGGTAAAATAGATACAATATAAAATTTACCTACTTTACCATGTTTAAGTTGAAGGTTCAGTAGTGTTTGTTCATTTACATTGTTGTGCAGCCAATCTCCAGAACTTTCTTATCTTGCAAAACTGGAGTTCTGTACCCATTAAACAAACACTCCCTGTTCCCCCTCCTGTGCAGCCTCTGATACCCCCTCTTCCTTCTGCTTTTACGAGCCTGGCTACTACTCTTACAAGTATAATCATACAGCATTTGTTTTTTTGTAATTTATCTTTTTTAATAGTTGCATTGTATTGCATTATGTGGATATATGTGTGTGTATATATATCTCAACCATTACTAGTATTTTTGCTTACACAAAAAATGCTGGAAAAAATTTTTTGTGTGTATATGTTCGCATGCTACAGTTTGCTGTGTTGGATTTTCTTTCTTTTTTTTTTTTTTTTTTGTGGTAAAAATTCCAGAAGTGACATAGCTGATCAAAGAAATGCATCTTTTCAGTTTTCATATATGGTACCAGGTACCTTCTCAAAATTCTGGTAATTCACAATCCACCAGTCATGAGTCATGTTATTGTTTCTCCCTCATCGTCTCCAGCCTTGGTATCATCATTCTTTCTAAGTTTTGCTCTTCTGATCAATGACAAGTGATGTGGCACTTCTTAAATTTGTATTTCCTTGACTGTTAGTGAGATTGAGCATCTTTCCATAAATATATTGGCCATTTGGATTTTCTCCTTTATAAACCATCAATTCATATGTTTTGTCCATTTTCTGCCAGGTTATTTATCTATCTTATTGGTATAAAGGAGCTCTTTGTATATTAAAGATTGTAGGGTAAGGTAAAAGTATCAGGCTTTTCTGCCCTCCTGCCATTAGGACAGATGACGGAACCCTGCAGTCCCGAATGCATGCCTGATGGCGGGCACCTGGAAAAGGGTGTGGGCATATGTAGATGGGATTCACCTGGGCTAAGACTGGGCTTTTAAGGGCAGCGTCACGGGGACACCAGCAGAAGCCGAGAGAGAAGGAGAAGCAGAGTAGAAGTACCGTGAGAGAGCAGAGCAGCAGAGACTACCAGAGAATGCCAGAGAGCCCAGAAAGAGTGAAGACTTGCTGGGGGGCTGGGAGGCCTGCCAGCCTCCCAGCCCCCTGGAACCCCTACCTGCCATGTACCTGGTAAATCCCAATAAAAGCCTGAAAAAGCCACTGAGGGCTCTAGGACTCCTTCTTTACCTGGTCTGCTGGATCAGAAAACCTGCCCTGTGTCCATTCCTGCCTTTACAAAGATGTCAAGTCTTTATTAGTTGTATATATTGATATACTTCTTCCAGTCTGTAATTTGTCTTTTGACCTTATCTATCTCTTTCACCCTTCTAAAATTTAAACATTTTATGTCTATCTTTTCTCTATTGCTTCTAGATTTTCTGTTTTGTTTAGAAAAATATCCTCAAATCCTAGACTATATAAATATTCTCCTAATTTTTTTCCTCAGGAAATTATTTCAAATATTTAAGTTGTTTTAAATATTTAAGCTGTTTTAAATGTTATTTTAAATTATTTTAAATATCCTCATGAAGTTGTTAAATATAGAAAACAGCTTTAAATTGTTTTAAGTATTTAAGTTTAAATACATTTAAATCCTTCATCTGTTTTAAATTGTTTTAATGACTTGAGAGATAAAGCTGAAACTTGCTTTGTTTTTTCAGTCAGTTGTGTTATACAATTTATTCTTTCCCTCACTGACTTGAAATGCCACCTTTATATTGTATTATAATCCATATGTATTGGGATCTATTTCTGGACTTGTCTCTATTTCTGTCCCATGGATCTATTTATTTTGTCCTTCACCCTTCACACAGGATTTGATCACAGTAATGTCGAGTTAGTTTTCCTAAGGCCACTCTTACCTAAACATTCCTTCACTGATGTTGTTTTCATCATGTCACCATGCAAATTCCTTCCAGCTGTCAGGCTCTAGAAGTCAGTAAGGTTCAAGACAAGCCTGAGGAAGGCCTGCTGATGGCACTTTTCAGAATCAACCTAGACAGAGGACGATGATATTAACTGAGCACCTACTATGTGCTCAGCTCAGCTCTTTTCACTAAAGGTAGGGCTAGAAGACCAGAACTTCCTGGCCCACAGTGACTAATAATTCAAGGTTCTTGTTGCTCAGCTCCAGACCTATTTTCTAGCCACAGCTTTTCAGTGTTGACCTTCAGCCCTGCAAACCCCCACGTCTGCTTTGCCACTAGAGGGAGGTTACAGCCTGGAGGAAGAAAAGGGTCACGGTCGTTCCTCTTCGAGGTCATTGCTCCCTGTCACCCCAACATTTCTTCACCCCAGTGCATTGAACCCATCTTGAAGCAGCAGCTAAACCCAGTTTGTAGTTTTCTAACACTTGCCGCTTCATCTCCCACCACCCACCCATACCCCCTAACACAAGGACCCCAATACCTGCTGACTGGTACCCCTTCTTCAGAAGTCTAGGTCCCAGCCTCTGTGGCCTCTCAGAATGTCTATGATTTAGTCATTCTAACTACATCCTTTGGTTTCCCCAGGCCTGGGCACTGTAGCTGCCGTTGCAGCCTCCATGATACCCCAGCTTTCTCTTATCATCCTTTCATTATCTCACTAGCAACTTTATCCCTAGTTATCAATTCCTTATATTAAATTTTCCCTTTTCAGCTGAGTGGTGTGGTTTCTGTCTCTTGACAGGACCCCAACTAACTCAGGTAATGAGAAACTAAAGTTTTCTGGGCTGTGAGGGCTACTGCTCTTGGCCTTGGGCAGAGAACTCCCTCCCTCCTCCATTCCCAGAATTATTTGGCTGCTGGTCGCCAAGGAAACGGCTGACAATTTCCAGTTGCCAAGCCTCTCCCTGAAGCTCTATGGAGACATTCTGGAAACTCCCTACTCCTTCCAGTTCCCCAGCCAGAGAATCTTGGAGAATCTCACTGGAGAATCTCACTTGGAGAATCTCACTGGGTTGGGGAGTTGGGGGTGGGGTGGGGGAGGTGGGCACTTGGAAGGAGGAGGAGGATCAGGCCTGAAGAGTAAGAGATAACAGGTTTCCCTGGGGCTCTGGTTTCTCCACAGACTTCAAGTGCTGGGCCTATAGTCCCAGAGGCCCGCTACAGCCAAGGCTGAGTTCTCCAAGCAGGCTCTCAGCCATAGAAAGCTCGCCTAACATGGTTACTGCAGGTTGGGTGGAAGCCCATTGCCAGCTGGAGCAGGGAAAAGTCAGAGAGCTGGAAGGTCTGGAACCTTCACATGGGGAGGAACATTAACCATTCCTGGGCACTCCTCTCAGCAAAGCAGCATTCAAACCACAAAGAAACCTGGTCTTAAGGCCCAGGCTCCAGTTTACTTTGTAACAAAAATGGCAACTCTGATTATAAGAACAGTAGAGTAGGTGTGAAACTTCCTTTACAAACTTAGATGTGCAAGAGTAGATAAAGATCCTTTATTTCATGAAAATCAAAGTTGACTCCTTAACTAGGATCCCTGTCCCTCTCAGAGTACCCCTGGAATCCGGGAGGCTTGGGAAGTGCCAGAAACAGTAGAGTCCTCTAACCGCTCCAGTCCATTCCACTGAACTTCTTATTGCCAAGCCCCCAGGAGGTCCAAGACCTCAAGGCCAGCTCTCCACTTCTCTGCCCTGAGGGTCCTGGGCCTGCCTGGCCCCAAACTCAGGGAACTCTCTCCCTCTCTACTTTGCTTCAAAGGTATACTCCTTTCTCCCTCTCACCCCTTCCACCAAGAGTGCCTACCACAACTTTTTAGTGAATTTAGACTTTTACAAAAATAGGGAAATTTTCGCCTGGGTGATAAACAGGCTCTGCCTCCACCTCATAAACATCTCTGAGGTGATGAAGAACTATAGACCTGACTAAAGCTTCATCTGCTTTACTTTTTTTTTTTTTTTTTTATTTGTATAGATTTATTCATCAATTGTTCATTCGTTATTTACACCATATACTTTCTTTCTCCATAGCACGGAAGAAATCACAAGTGTTTAGGGACTCAGGGGCCAACTTGAAGTGGGTACCCACAGGGAAACTCAATTATTTCTTTGCATAAGAATGTGCTTGATTGTTAAGTGACCGCTTGGCCAAAGCAGGACAGGCACAAAAGAGCCCATGGGTGGTGCTGAGTTGAGCTCACCACTGTTCAACTTTCTTCTCCATGACAAACTGTCCATGAGGCCGGTCAGCGTCTGAGGGCAGAAGGGCCAGGTAGACCGGGGTCTCTGCTCCTTCTTCTGGACTTTTGGTGGCTTTGGGACCAGCCATGTCGGTCCTCACCCACCCTGGGCAGCAGGCATTCAGAAGGATCTTGTCTCCTCCCCTCTGCTCACTCAGTTTCCTGGCATGGATTCGGGACAGGACTGTGACCCCGATTTTGGACACGCCGTAGGCAGTGTTAGGCCAGCCCTCCTTCTGGTGCACCCCATTCTTTGTGTCTTCCACAAACTTGTTCATGAGTGCCACCAGCTCCTCCTCCGTGATGGTCTCACTTCTGAACTTCTGCTGCAGGTCGGGGCTGCAGTTTTTGAGGGCTCTGAGAGACACCATGCTGGATATGTTCACCACCCTACCTTGGGGCTTTATAAGGGGCAGCAGTTCTGCGCTGACATCTCTAGTTCCAAAAAAGTTTGTTTTCATGGTTACCTCTGCTTGGACGTGGAACGGTGTGGGATCATTCACCTTGAAGGCGATGCCCGCGTTGTTGACCAGCACGTCGAGGCCCCCGTACTCCCGGCGCAGGAAGTCGCGCAGCGCGCGGACGCTGCCCGGGTCGTCGATGTCCAGCGGGTGGAAGCGCGGGCGCAGGCCCTCGGCCTCGAGCTGCTGCACGGCCGCCCGGCCCCGCGCCGCGTCCCGCGCCGTGAGCACCACGTCCCCCGAGAACTGGCGGCACAGGGCGCGCGCGATGGCGAAGCCGATGCCCTTGTTGGCGCCGGTCACCAGCGCCACGCGCGTGGAGGACGCCATGGCGGGCGCGCGGGCCGGGCGGGAGGGCGAGGCCGCGGGAACCGACCCCCGAGTCCGCCCGTCCCGCGGCGCAGGTTCATCTGCTTTACTTTTGAAGCAGCATTTTAAAGTAAACTAAAGACACATCTCATCCCTGAATATTTTAATATCCATTAAGAAAAAATGAATAGATTGTCTTACATGACCTTAAAGATACTATTACACATAACAAAATTAATGATAATGTTCTAATTGTAAGCATTAAACATTTGGCCTCCTTTCTGCGGAAAAACAGATATTGAGTGCGTACATTGCTCCAGGTCACTTGGCTAGAGAGCAATGGGGAACACTGATGCGATTCTAAGATATACTCTCTGCACACCCCATTTTTGTGCAATGGTTTAAATTTTTCACTGTTGGGCCTCCCTGGTGGCACAAGGGGTTAAGCACAGCACTCTGCAAGGGGTTATCCACAGCCTCTGCAGCATGAGTTCGATCCCTGGCAGGCCAGGGAGATACCCACATGGTGCAGCAGATTTCTCCTTTCTTGCCCACTGCTCCCCTCAGCAGTATATTTCAGTCAGTCTGCCTGTTCTGCTCCCCACTCTGTCTCTGGTGAATCCTCTCACCCCCTGCACCTCTGGCCTGTACCCCAGTTCTCGTATGCATAAATAAATAAATCTTAAATTTTTCACCGTCCTCCCCTGCTCATTGACTTATCTGGCTCTTACTATAACCCTCAGAAATGTCTGGTGGGCATTAGCACCACATTTTGAGCAGATCAGGAAATGGAGGCCCAGAGAGATAGAGTGCTTTGCCCCAGGTGGCCCAGAAAGGGCAGGTTGCAGAGCTGCTCCTGGAAAAGTGAAGCCTCTGCAGGAAGGCGGGGTGAGCAGGCAGAGCAGGCAGGAAACCAGGCTCCTTCACTGCAGCCCAAGGGGCTCTAACCTCAACTTCTTTACCTTGGCCTCTGCCTCCCTGCCTCCCCTTCTTTCTTCACCAGATCTGGTTTTGGGAGAAGAGCCTCCTTGCTTCACCTCTCTATCTAGGGCCTCGCTCATTTCCTCTCTGGTCTCCAAGGAACAGTTTACAAAGTGACTAAGCAGTGACCCCTACCAGGCCCTTGTCCCTCTCGCCCCTCCCTCCTCCTCTCAGCCATGAACACAGCGGGATCCCATTTCCTCTCCAACCCTCTGCTCATCTCCTGCTGGAGCCCCCAATGGCCTAGGTTTGGCCTCCAGCAAGGCCCACATGGACACATATGGAAAAGCCATTTATTTCCAGGAGCTTTTGCTTCCTCCACTCCAGGTCGGCTGTACCCATCCTTCCACATTCTGCTCCTCAGGATTCAAAATGGTCACAACAGACTGGAGAATGGGTTAAACCCAAGCGTGAAAGGCCTACGGATTGATTCTGAGAAGCAGAGATATGTGTGTGAGGCCACAAAGGAACAAGAATCAATAGGCCCCAAATTTAACAAATGTCACAGTCTGATGTGCTATTTTTCAGAGTGTGGCAGAAGTTTCTGGAAAGTGAGGCAGCAGCAGGAAACCCGGGATCTTGTTGCAGCTACATTAAAGAGACCTGGGGAAACCAACGGAGCTGCCATTGCCTCTCAAAACACAAAGTTCAACCCTATCTTGCTCAGGGGTCTGGGAAAGTGCCCAGGTGAGCAGTAGCATGAACATTTTCTGGTGCACAGTGGCCAGGACATATGTGTTAACTACATGGAAGAACGTTTGAAATTCTTATCAGGGCAGAATGATTTTGAGTCTATCAGAGAGAAAGGACTTAGCAGTTCCAAGGCCTCTGGCCTGTCCAGAATGAGCATAGGTGAATAGCCTCAGGTGGATGGGGACAAACTGGAGAGAGTTCAAAGGCAGGGAGGAATGCGGGAAATCAAGTCATGGGAAAGAATGGGTAGACTCTGAGCTATTCATACAGTGTGGCCAGACACTGGCACAGGGAGTGTGTGCCTGGCACACCTGGGAGCTCTTGCTATGTAGGTAGAGAAGAGATGGGCTGGGCATGCTCTTTCAAATATTGGATGACTGTCACCTGAAAGAGAAATTGGAGTGATTTTGCAAAGTTTCAATGGAAGAACTCCACCCTAAGGATAGAAGTGTCAGGGAACATGGGCCTCCCCGGTGGCACAGCGGTTGAGCTCTGGGTTGCGAAGCTGCCCGCAGTCTCTGCAGCGCCGGTTCGATCCCCGGCCGCTCCCCGGCCACCGGAGGAGGGTCCCACATGGCGCGCAGACCTCTCCTGCCGCCCGCTGCTCCCCTCAGCAGTGTACTTCGGTCCTTCTGCCTGCTCTGCTCCCCGCTCTGGCTCTGGTGAATTCTCTCACCCTCCCACACTTCTGACTGTACCCAGTGCATGTATAAATAAATAAAAAATAAATTCATTAAAAAAAAAAGAAGTGTCAGGGAACAGATTTCCATTCAACTTCAAGAGAAAGAAGGCAAGAAAGAACATTTATTGACTGTGTACTGGGTGCTGGGTGCTTTCAAGGTGCTTGATGTAAGTGTTGTACTTTATCATTCCTTACTAAAGAGGACATTATTATCATTCACATTTTAAAGGTGAAGACAGGAATCTGAGAGAGGGCAGGCCACTGGTCCAAGGTCATGTGCTCATACTGTGCCTGCCCGATGTTGGTCAATGGGATAGGATGAAGGGCCTCCAGGAGGCTGCAGAAGGGTTTCCTGAGCTGCAATGGGGGTGCCACTGGGCCTCTCAGAGCCCTCAACCTGGCTCTCCAAAATGACAGCTCAAGCTTCTCAAGTCCATCCTAACCTCCCTGCTTCTGAGTTTAGCTGAAAGCCCATAGCAAGGTTGACCTCCCCATTATTCCTGAGTCCACACCATCAACTCTCCCTCCCTCCAGATCTCCCAGAGCAATGAATGCAGGGGTTGAGGTGGGCCTTAGGGATCCAGTTGGGCTGTAGATGGAAGCTCTACAGCGACAGGGGGGTACATGGGACCTGAGCAAGATGGGGTGATGAGAAGTACCACAACCTGAGAGTCTGCAGCCTTGCTTTCCTAGGGCCTAGATACTGAGCACGCCTGGAACAAAACATGAGGCTACCCTGGCTTGGCAGATGCTCCTGAAGGAAAGGGACATGCCTTACCATAGACAGCATAGTGCCTTGCACTTAATAGGTGCTCCAGAAATGTTTGTTAAATAGTTTAAAATCCTTAGGTCAAGGAGTGTAAGTAGTTTTAATAGGCAGGTGCTATATTCTTCCTCACTAATTCTTCTCAAGGATATTATATGAATGAAAATAAAGCTCAGAGGGGATAAGTAACATGCTAAGGTCACACAGCAGTAAACAGCCAAAGCTGTATTCTGACCACTGTATTCTCTTGTCTCTCAAAAGGGAAGGACCCCTCCTCACCTGTCTCTTCTGGCCCCTGAGCTCCAACTATGTCAGAGATAGGAGCCCTTGGCTTGCTTATTCATTCAAGCCATGCTTCCTCTTTGCTTTCAGACAGGGGCTTCAGCTCTGTCATGGGGTCCTGGCCTGGTTGAGCCAGGACCTACATAGGAAGGGGGATACATTTCACCTCTGTGATGATTAATTTTATGTGTCCACCTCACTGGGTCACAGGGTGCCCAGATATTTAGTCAAACATTATTCCAGTGTTTTTGGATGAGAGTAATTGAATTGGTGGGCTAAGTAAAGCAGACTACCCTCCCTCGTGTGGTTGGGCCTCATCCAATCAGTTGAAGGCTTGACTAGAACAAAAAGACTGATGCTGTTCCACCCCCAAATAAGAGTGAATTTCCTGCTTGATGGTTTTGAGCTGGGACTTTGGTCTTTTCCTACCTCTGGACTCAACTGAAACATCAGCTCTTCTTGGGTCTTGAATGAGCCAATTCATTATAATAAATCTCTTTATAAATATACACACATCCCATCGGTTCTGTTTTCTCTGGCGAATCCTAAGGAATACATCTCCTACCCCGATTCTCCTTTCCAGAGTCTCCCTACTAAGGAGAAAGAGTGGGTTGAGGAGCACCTCCTAAATCTTCTATGCTCATGTGGTCCAAATGAGAAATGGCTGGAAGGGCTAATCCACTAGCAGAATAGATCAATAGGCCCAGCACAAACCCTGGCTGCAGGCCCTAGCTGCCTTTTAAAAAGTTTCTGGATTCCCGCTGCCTAAATTCTTGTGTTCTCTCTAAAACAGAGGCTGCTGCCTTCCCACCCTGAGAAGGGCTGCAATGCCAGATCGCCAGTCGTTGCGCCCAAAGGAATGTCTAATGGAGGCTCCAAGACATTCCCAGTTCATGCCCACGACGTGGAAGCTGCCACTCTGCTGCAAGCTGAATTAGGGGGAAATGGGTGTACAAGGAGGGCATGGAGGGGCTTTGGCCCTGAATTGGGTGAGGGTGGCCACTGTCCTAGGGCAAGTGAGAGACCAAGTGTCCCACTGTGAGCCTCTCTGGGCCAGGAGGAGCTGCCGGGCACTCAGCTATGATAGCTCTTTTCAGGCCCAAGCCCTGGTGAACCTGACTCCAGACACCAGATCCCATCTCACTGGGGTCTAGGGATATCACCCACCAGAGGATGGAAAACTGACCTCATCTCAGGCTGTCAAGCACAGACGGCAGGGCAGCAGGATATGCTGAAAGCAGGAGAGAGAACTCCCTGGGAGTCAATAGCCCCAGGTAGCAAGGAAGCTGCATCTGTGCAGTCCTAAAGGCCAGACTTTGTAGGTGAAACCTGGCACAGAGCTTGAATGGCACATTACGACCTGTTGGGCACCATTCCCGCGTGCAAGTGTTCGTGCAAGTGTGTCTGCGTGCGCGCGCCTGTGTGTGTGCATGCGTACAGGCAGGTGTGAATCTTAACACCCATATGCAAAAAAGGTATATAAAAAACAAATGTAAAAGCTGATGAACTGTAACCTTTACCCATGTCATGAATTAAATATTATCAGGACGCAGGAAGCCTCCCCATATGCCAGTATAATTTTTCCTCATTTAATATTCACAGTATCTTCACAAGAAGTTGTCATTACCCCCATTTACCTGTGATGAAACTAAAGCTCACAGGGGTTCAACAATTTCCTAAAGTTTCAGTTTGTCTGTCAAACCTAAACTCTGAAGTTGTGTTCGACTCCAGAGCTCCTTCCGTGGCTCTGCCAGCCGCTCCCACGAAAGGCAAGGAAAACACTGGGGGGACGAAGGGCATTTATTTATTTATTTTTTAAGATTTATTTATACAAGCACTGGGTACAGTCAGAAGTGCGGGAGGGTGAGAGGATTCACCAGAGCCAGGGTGGGGAACAGAACAGGCAGACTGACAAAATATACTGCTGAGGGGAGCAGCGGCGCGGCAGGAGAGGTTTGAGCATCATGTGGGACCCTCGCCGGTGGCCGGGGATCGAAACGGCACTGCAGAGGCTGTGGGCAGCTTCACAGCCCAGCGCTCAACTGTTGCACCACCAGAAGAGGCCTGGACGAAGGGCATTTGAAGGCTTGGAATTTCCTGACCCCTCAGAGGCTCCCACAGGGCGGGTGTTTGAACTAGATGTGAGGGGCCCTTTCAACTCTAGGCTCAGTGGCTCTAATCATCTATCATCAAAATGAAAATGCAGGAACTTGGGGTCTGCCCAAGCACATCTCACCCTCCCAACTCTGCATTATGGATGGAGCGCATTCTCCTGGTAAATAATTCACTCATAAATGGGGCAGTGAGGGTAACAGGAGAGCAGGGGTGAGGTGTCAGGAGGGCTGAGATTGGCAACCTGAGCCAGACCCCCATCCTCCCAGGGCTGTGCCTTGCTCTGAGGAGAAGGGAACTGGAGGTCAGGCGGGAGCCTCAGACAAGCAGCTGCCTGGAAGATGGGGCCATGGTGCCTCCGGAGGTCCTGTCCAGACCGCCCGGCCTCCTGCTGCTTGTTCACTTCTGCCTTCTGCCTCCAGCGGCCTCGGGTGAGTGATGCTCAGCCACCCCAAGGTGACCCGTTCCCCTTCACATCCCATTACTTCTCCCCCTTCTTCTTCAGGTCCTTCGGCACTTGCCTAGCCACCCAGCAGTGTCCGTTGACTTTGCTCATCTGCTGGACATTGACCAACAAGCACAGAGCGACAGCTGTGCGTCAGGTAGGGCAGCACGTAGGACAGAGCACAGCTCAGGTCCGGGTTCTGGAAGCCCCCTCCTAGCCAGAGGGTTTTCGGGTGCTGAGAGCAGTTGGGAGAGTGTCCCGAGAGTCTAGGGGAGAGGGGCTGGCAGCTTGGCCAATGCAGTGTCCACGGGAGGGAAAGCACCCGGGCTGAGCGAGCTGCTTTGCTTCCTGATCAGTTCCACAGCAGACGGTCACCTTTGATCCTTTCCCCCCACCTCTACCTCCACGTCTGTCTCCTCTTCTCTCTGGAGAAGCTGAGAGCTGTGGGAAGAGACCAAGGTGGGGGTTAGATAGAGCTCCAGCCCCAGCTCACTGCCTTCCGTGTGGCTTTAGGCAAAGTGACTTCTCCCTTCCGAGCGATGTGCATGTGCTCCAGTTACAACCACTGGACCATGCCATGAAGAGTCCAGGCTGGGGCCTAGCATGATGGAGGCTGCAGTGCATGGAAGCTCGTCTGAATGACCTTGCAGCTTGGTTGTCCCTTAGGGCACTTACTTTCGCCCACACTGGCTGAGGCTCTCAGCATGTTGTGGCATCCTGGCCAAAGGGGCAGAGGCTGGGGTTCCATGCTAGGCCCTGAGCCTTACCCCACACTGACCACTTAGTGTCTGAGAGACTGAAAGCTCCATGAGCTTGGGATGTTTTTCTCTACAACTCTGGTGCCTGGTATGGAGCGGGCTGCACACTAACAGTTGACAGATAAATGGTGGATGGGCTGATGGCAACTGCTGCATCTTCCCTTTGCTACAGAGGGTCTGGAACCCCCCAAGACCCCCACACAGAGATGTCCAGGACCTGAATTGCCAGTGACAATGGCAACATCCTGATGTCAGGGTTAGGGTGAGAGTCTTGGGGGTTGTGATCTGGCTTATGATCCTATTAACATCTGGGTGCTTGTTTAAATACAGATTCCCAGGCCCTGACCTTTGGGGATTCTGACTCAGTAGTTTGGGATGAGGTCCAGAAATCTATATTTTTATCAAGTTTTCCAAATGTTCTGATGCTATTGGGAACCCTTGCGCAGGTCCATTTTCTGAGCTCTGAGTCAAGAATCCCTCCACCCCAGATATCCAGACAAGACCTGTAGGTGCCTGAGAAACTGTCTCTTGCCCATCAACTCCAAAAGGACTGTGCTATCTTATCAAATACTTACTGCCCATGTCCCAACTCCTGAACAATAAACCAAAGCCCTAGACCAGAAGGAAGGAGAGGAGAACCCAGAACCATCCAAATGTCCGGCGTTGCTGCTCTCTCCCCAGGCCAGCTGCACTCTACTCTCACAGGCCCTGGGCAGGAGGCTGCATACATCCAAGGAGTAAGGGGCAGCTTGTGTACAGCTGGCCTGTGGCTCCTGGGCCGCCCCTCTGGTGGTCTTTTGGAGATTCACCCCCCCGGGCTCACTAGTGCCCCAGCCTTTGGCGGTCATCAGCAGAGCAGAGTCCAAAGTGGCGGCAGGGGCCTCAGTTCTGGGGACTGTGCATCTGCAGAACAGCAGCCTGGTGCTGTGTGAGCTACAGGAGGGTGCCCGTGGCCACTTCTTGTGCCAGACCCTGCACACAACCAGCGACCAGCTCCATACCACCTATTCCTACCTCACACTGGCCATCCTGGGTGAGGGCCTACTCAAAGCCTAGCTAGGCTGACGTGAGCTGCTTTGCATGCAGCTTTGCATCTACCTGCATGTGCTTTGCATTTCCTCTGCTGGGCCCAACCTCCAGGGAGCGGGGGAAACCTGGGATAGGCAAGAAAACCCCCAGCTAGCAAAGGCTGGGTGACTAGACACAGGCAGACCCAGCCTGGGGCTGTGATATCAAACAGAGTTCCTCTCCTTCCTCTGGCCAGTGCCTGTATCGAAGCCTCAGGTGAGGCCGAGTGCCCCATCTCCGGAGGAGGGAAGCAACCTGGTAGCCACATGTGCTGTGAGGGAGGGCACAGAGCCGGTGACCTTTGCCTGGCAGCATCAGCCAGCCCAAGGAGCTGGGGAGGCCCTGGTGGGGGTCACTAAGTCGCTGCTCCACTTGGGTCCAGTCAACCGGACGCACCTGGGCTGGTACATGTGCAGTGCCCACAACGCTGTCAACCAGCTGAGCAGTGACCAAGTCTTCTTGGATGTCATCTGTGAGTCGTGCTGGTGTGGGTGGGAGTGAGGGGGTCAGGAGCCCACCTACCCAGACACTCTCAGGGCATCTTCCCACATGTTTTCTTCCCTCTCCAGTGTAGAAGGGCAACTGTCCCATATAGAGAAACTCCTCAATCCCAGGCAAATGGGAGAGGGAGGCACCCTACTCTCTTTTGCCAAGCCAACACCGTTCATCCCCCTACCTCAGGCCAACCTACCAGTCCCTCCCGGGAGCCTAGTAGGATCAAGATGCACTCCTGAGCTCCCATAGCCCAGGGTGCTCCCCTCAGTAGACCCCAGATCCCCACACTAGACTGTGCCTGTGGCCCCTAGACTCTGAGTTCCTTCCTTGGGGGTCTAGCACAGTGACTGACACAGTTGGTGCATAATACATGCTCTTCAGATATAAGGAGATTCAGAGATGCTTATGTGAATGAATGAGGGAGTGAAGATTAGTGGGTATGACAGAACTTTCTTGCTCTCTAGATGATCCAGAAAAACCTGTGGTCACTGTGGAGCCCCTGGGCTTCTCCGAGGAGGGTTTTTGGGCCACTGAGAGAGAAGAGGTGACCCTGAGCTGCCTGGCTGTATCCACCCCCCCTAGTCACTGTGGCTCCATGACCACACTCAGGTCCACATTGAACCTACTTACATCATCACCAGCACTGGCCGAGCCCACACAGGTCTGTACACCTGCCTGGCCCACAACAGCCACTTGGACACCCGCATGCAGGCCACTGTCCAGCTCACCATCTACTGTGAGTGTGTGGTCAGGGCTACCCACAGCTGGGGCCACCCAAGCTCTGGCTCTGGCTGACCCCAGGTGCCCTGTGAAAAGTGGTACAGAAATTGAGGGTGATGGAGGAAGATCTGGGAAAACAAACGGAGCTGCAGAGCACTATCAATGGAAGGGGGAGAGGGAAGAGGCTAAGAGAACCATAGGAAGGGGCTGGGGGAGGGAAGCCCCTTGTCCCTGTTATTATTCCCACAGAGGATGAACTGAGGCACAGAGAAAGGTAAAATGATGGCATTAGGCAAAGCGCCCAGAGGCAAAGAAGAAAATAAGAGGTGGGGGTTTCCACAGGGCCTCTGGGGTTCCTACAGGACTCTGAACTCCCTGCCCCCACTCAAACTCACCCCAACCCTTACCCCTTGATGTGAGAGCTTAGCCTTTTCTCCACCAGCTCATCAGAGGGATCAGTTTTTCTCTGCTCACCTACTTCTGACTTCCCTACCTTGCCTATGACTCCTCCACATCCAGGCCTCCCATCTGGCACTTGCGCCTGCATCAACCCCACCCTTCCTCTCCACCCAGATCCCCCTGAGGGGCAGCCCTCCTGTGCTGTGCTCCCCACCCTTGGGGCTGTGACTTTGACCTGCGCATGGCCTGGGGGCTTCCAGCTGTGCAGCTGCAGTGGGAAGGGCCCCAGGAACCTGGCCCAACTGCCTTCAGCAATGTCACCTGGAGTCCTGCCTCCTCCCAGCGCCCCAACAACAACGTCTTCACCTGCACTGGCCAGCACCCAGCCCTGGCACTGCTGGCACTCTGCAGGGTCAAGCTGTGTGAGTGGACACGGGGAACATTCCAGGCAGAGGAGTGGGTAGGGGTGAGGGGAGAGGCCTGGAGGGACTCTGGTATCTGGAGTGGATCTTAAGGCAGCCAATTCTAAGACTTGCATGTAACAGGAGGTACCAGTTCCTTTCACCCCAGCCCTGATCACCATCCACTGTGCCTGTCGTCCTGTCGAGCCTCTGACACTCTTGCAATGATCTCCCAGTCTCTAGAGCCAGCAGGTTCTTACCTACCTCTCAAGCTCCTACCCATCTCTGAAGACCAAATTCAAATGTCGTCCTGTCTGCAGTCTTTCTCCTGTCTGCAGAACCTCCTAGAGAGGTTCTCTTTCTACTTTTACTTTAGTAGGCATCACATTATGTTGTAATTGCTTGTTTGGCATCTGTCCCATTATTTCCCTGGCCCGTGCTTAGCCTCCATCCTTGATGAAGGAACAAATAAATGAGTGACTGGGTAAATGGAGGAATGAACTAACTGAAGGAGGGAGGGATGGGGTAGGTCTGTCAAGTCTGCCTCCTACTGTTGGGCCTTCCTGAGCCATTATTCCCTATCCAGGGGAGCCCTTCAGGAGCCCCACCTGCTGGGCCACAGCCACAGTGGAAGGCCAGTTCATCATGCTGAGCTGTGAGTGGCCAGGAGGCGAGCCCCCTGCCGTGCTGAACTGGCTGGATGGGGAGCAGCAGCCTCTGGGTGTCAGTAGCTCCTCGCTGGCTGTCCACCTCCTGTGGGTCTAGGAAGAGCTGGCGGGCAGAGAGTTCACATGCTGGGGCTCCCAAACACTCAGGACCCCTGCTCCCCACTGCCAGCTCCAGCTGGGTGAGTGGCGACTGAGTTCTAGAGCTGGGTGGGAGAAGCAGCCCTTGGGAGTCAGGATGAGAGGCTGGGGGTGGGCGTGGGTGGGGAATGTGCTGGGCTGCAAAGGGAGTCAAGAAATAGTCCTGTCCTTCCCAGGGACTCAATTTTTTTTGCTCCATAATATAAGGGATCTTGGTCTAGACTTATATATAATTTAAAATTTTCTATATATAATTTTGAATGTTCTAGTAACCACATTAATAAAAGTAAAAAGAAACAGGTGAAATATTTAACTTGACATATCCAATATATTATTATTTCAACATGTAATGATGTATCATTGAGACTTTTTATTATTCTGTCTGCAAAATCTCGGGTGAGTCTTTATAGTTGTATATACAGCATATTTCAAGGTGGCTGGGCCACAGTTCAAGTACTCAGGGGGTGGGGGGAGGGAGGGACACACGTGGCCTGTTGAGGGATTCAGAGTCTCCCTCATTTGCCTCAGCTTGAGGCCCCTGATTATATTCTTGACTTGCATTCATGTTTCAGGTGCCTGGGGTCTCTTCCCCTCTCTCACTCCCTCTATTTGTTTTTGCTCTGGTTTCTTTCTCTGTCTTTCTCTGGTCCTGTCAATCCTATTTATTACCAGCTCAAGAAAAAAGAATTAGATCTCACAGAAAAAAATATGAGAAAAGCAAACAGGAGCCGTCACATATGACCATTTTCACAACACGATTTTCATCTTGGTTTCCAAAGACTGGGTGATTAGCATGTTTTGGGGTTCTAAGTTGGTCCTCAATCCCAAATACCCCCTTCCTTATTACTCAGTCTTAGGGCCTGATATTAATTCCTTCATAGGAGATTCATTGACACCTGAAACTCTGGGTCTTCAGGAGTCTGTCTCAGCCTAACACTAGGAGGGGGAGGGAGTTAAGGCAGCGGTGAGCAAGGCAGGGGCCCACCCACAGAAGCCAAGCCTGGGGTGCAGTGGGCGAGACCTGCAGGAACGCCGCCATTCTCATAAACCTTGAAGAAGATTCTGACAGGAATTGGGAACCTAAAAGGGAGGCCCAGTGTCCTCTCCACTCCCTACCCCTCCACCCCTGGCCAGCACCCTACTCCAGGCCTTCCTTCTAACCTGGACTTGGGGCACATCCTCTGCCTCACCCTCTCTGTCCCTACAGAAGCTCCGCAGCTGGTGGTGGCTGAGCACCAGCTGTCAGTGCTGGAGGGGGGCGAGGCCTGGCTGGGGTGTGCCCTTCTGTGGGGCACACCACCTGCCCAGCTCCTCTGGCTGGGACCCCAGCAACAGCAGGTGGAACCAGGTGCTTCCGGATTCACGCTGCACAGCGAAGGGCCCCAGCTCCGCCTGCATGTCCAGCCCGCTGACCCAGCTCGCCATGGGGGCACCTACTGGTCCGTGGGCCGCAACGCCGTGGGCAGCAGCCAGAGGAGTGTCCTGCTGGAGGTGCTGAGTGAGTGAGGGCTTGTGTGTGCTTGTGTGGCGAGGGGGAAGGGGAACTTTAGGTCAAAAGGCACCTGCTCCAAAACATGGACACATTAGCTCCCTCAGGAACAGGCAGGCCCTCAAGAGCACAACCCTCAGTGGGCCTGGGAGCAAGAACAGGAGGACAGGCCAGCAGGATCCATGTGACCAGGAGAATCATTCCCTCAGCTTCTAGATGGAGGAAACTGAGGCTCTGAAGCTAAGTCTCAGGTTACACAGGCCGAGACTGAAAAGACTGAACGAGTCTATAAATCTATCTGGTGCTTCTTCACACCATGCTCTCACCCCACTGGACATTCACAGACATGCACAGACATCCGTGGTTGCAGGTACGAGTGCCTATGTGCTTCTCCACCTCACCCCAAGGATATCCATCTCCTCTCAATGTCACCATCCGACGCCTGATCTATGGGAGACACCGGAGGGAGGTGCAGCTACACTGGGTCACTGAGGGCCCCGAGAACCTGACTGGCTTTCTGGTGCAGCAAAGGAGTGGGGTCCCGGCCCCAGGAGCAGGGACCTAGGGACGGCAGCCAGTGGCATTGAGCCAGAGAGCAGGGGCCGGCGACTGGGTGGCTTGGACCCAGGGGTCCTCTATGCCTTCCAGGTCCTGGCTCTGAATCACCACACGGCTGGACATCCGTCTGAGGTGAAGATACCAGGTTTCAGCCCCACAGAGGGACTCACATTTTCTCCACAAAACTGAAGCCTGGCTCATCTTCCTTCTCTTCCCTCAATTCTTTTCCACTGAACTTCTTCATACCTAGCCTGTCCTCTACTCCGCCAGGTCCTCGGGCATCTCTTCTGACATCTTTTCCATTCCCCCCCAGGAAGCTCCAGAGGCCCTGAGCGTGGGGGTCAAGGCAGAGTCCCACTTGATTAAGAAGGAGTGAGGAAGGAGGCCCAGGGTGCTGGTGATATAATAAGGGTAGGAGCCCAACTCTGTGCCTCAGTCTCCCTTTCCCTCCGGGGCGTAGGTGGCCTCTCAGTTTCTTGCTTGCTCTTGCTCCATCCTGGGAATTCCTTATTTTATGACATCCTTCCCTTCTGCCCCAAGCTGCCAAGATAACTAGCCTGCTGCCTCTGTGCCAGAAATAAGGATCTTGGCAGGGGATTTGAAACCCCAAGAGCACCAGCAGGCAATGCACTTCTCCTTGGGAGATACTTGGTTTCCAGATCCTCTGGGTCAGTCAGGCCTTCCTCTTCATCGCTTGTGCAGAGGCAGGGGGCACTGGGTGAGCAGGGCATTGTCTGCTTGGTGCCTTAGGAGCCACAGTTGCCAAGTTCAGCTGTGGTTCTAAACTTGTCCCATGCAATAGCACTCTCCCCTCCTAGTGGACCCCCCCCCATTCAGTGCCTACCCAGCAGTGCTGGGTGCAGCAGGCACAGGAATGGTGGTGGCAATGGTGGCCTCTCTCCTGGTGTTCCAGTATGCGGCCCGGCACCCGGAGACTTTCCCCTGTGAGTGGGAGGCAGGAGGGTGGGGTTCACCCCATACTGTGGCCAGTAGACCGAGCCCAAGGATGTAAAGCTCCCAGGGCCAAGATTCTTGGCTCTGCTAGGATTCTGTGGCCTCTCCCCAGTGCTAGATGTCCTTTGGTGCACCAACCCCCAACTTCAGGCATCCGGGCCATCTGCCCATGGGAAAAGAAAGGGTTACTCTCCTGGGGTCTATGCCAGATTCCTCAATTTATGGTTTCCTTTACTCCCTGCAGGTCTTGGTCAATTGCTTATTCCCACGTGAGTGTGGAACCCATCATCCTGGGGGGTCACAACTGTTTTCTGAGTGGCAAGGAAGTTTGGGGAAGTGTGGTTGTCACTCACTTGACTCTCACTTCAGCCTCAGGGAGCAAAGTCACCAAGAAAGAGGTTCAAGGGAAGACCCTGGCGCACAGGCACGATAGCAGGATTTGAGCTCAAAGATACACTCAGGGAAAAGAAAGCAGTCCCGAGTTTCATGTGTGATTTTCATTCTCTCTTGTCCCCTGGGAACAACCTGGGACACCCCCAAACATCTACCATTCCTTTAATCATGTCTGCTCTCTGTAGGCACTGAAACACTCCCCACCACCCATGGTTCAGGTCCTACTCAAGACTCCATGGACATGCCTGTAAATGTCACCATCCCAGTGTCTGCGACGCCATGAGGTCCCCCAAGAGAAGATAAGCATAGGGAAGACAGGTGGGGAACACCCCTTAGGCCCGAAGAGGACTTAAAACCAAGGTAGTTAAGATACCAATTACCCCTTCCTCAATGAATACCCTACAGTGTCAGGTTCAGCTGCAGTGCTTCTGTGACCTGGTCACAAAAGAAGACCTGGCCCAGCTTGTGAAGACAGGTGGAAGGACGAGCTGGAGTGAAATCCGTGGTGTCTGATGCTTCCAGACTGAGTTTGTGAATTGAGCAACACCTGAATAAATTATAAATCATCCTTGATGCTCTCACAGTAGAGGGTTATTTTTTTTTTTTTTTAAGATTTATTTATTTATACTAGAACAGGGTACAGGCCAGATGTGCAAGAGGGTGAGAGGATTCACCAGAGACAGAGGAGTAGAGAGTTATTTCAATTGCAGCTCCCACGGGAGAGGCTGATCCCAGGTTCAGCTGGATCCCAGGTTTTCCTAGTGAGAGAAAGTGAGGGCATGAGAGACGGGTCATGTAGGCATGTTCCCTTCACTCAACTGTAGCAAGTAAGATGCTTTTCTAGTTATTTTCCAAATCTCAAAGTCCTTCCCCGAGAGCGCAAGCTTCTATTAGAGGAGCTTAATCAGTGTTGGCAGCAGCCTTAGGTGTTGACCCCAGGGTCTGTTTTCCCCTTACCTGTGGGTGGGGAAGATCATGGGGTCTGCAGCAGTCAAGGGACAGCGTGCACTAGGCTCCCAGAGTCCGTGCCAGGAAGACAGAGCCGGAGCTTTACCGATGCAACTTCCTGTCACCAGGCCTGGGGGAGCTGGATGGCAGGGGACGGGGGCTGTTTCAAAGTCGCAGTCCAGCCCCTGCCAGCATGACTCACTGGCTCCAAGTGTGTCTGAAGCCCGGGTGAAACAAACGAATGCTTGTTCAACCGGCTCCAAGAGTCAGGACTCGGAGCTGCCCCCACGGGGAACTGAGATGAGAAGAAACAGCAGGAGAGCCAAGGGATGAGCTTGCCAGGAATAAGGAAGTGGCGCCTGAAAGGAGATGGAAAACTGACAGAAACTTAAGTTGTTTCTTAGGTTCTCACAGATTTAGACTTTATTTGAAAAGGGGTCTCAAATTCCGTCAAAGCTCTTAGGACTGGGGCTCAGGTTTAAGAAACGCTTACTTAAATATGGAGAATAAAATACAAAATGGCCACACCCAATGCCTAAGATCCCATCGGCTTTCTTGTCAAAGCAGCCCAGACAGACTTTTTTAGGGCAAGCGAAAGCTGCTCCTTGGGGAGGCTATCCCTGGAGTTGATACACACATTGCTCTAGGTTGTTGGTAAAAACAGACGACAGAAGGGACCAGTCCTCCCTGTTCTCTTCATGCTTCTCTCCCACCCTCCTTCCTGCCAAAGAATAGAGAGTGAGTTCCCCCAAGGGGGTGTGCCTGCTTCCACACAGCTCCTTGGCTCAGGTATTTCCCAGGCTCTCCATAAAACACTTGTTCTGGACTCTGTTCCTTCAGGGCCTGGACTTCTGCAGTCAGAATAGAAGAGATTAAATCACTCGCTTTTGGGTGTGCACAGGGGATTTTCAGGGATGACAGGAGGTTCCAAAGAATTTCAGAGTCAGACAAACACCGGCCCCCGTCACACTTTACACAAACAGGGAGTACATGGGTATCTTCATCTTCACATGCTACTCTACAAGGAAGCAGCATTCTCTTTTAATATAAAATCATATCAATCAAATAGAACCTGTCAAAGCTACATCATTTAAAATATGTACAATTTCAAACATAATATTACAACTTTAAGGAAAATAAAACATACTTTTCAATATGATACAAAGACATGCATCTCAAAGTCATTGCTTTAAAAGAGCAACACAGGTGACGTTCAGTTCTGAAATCAACTTCTTGGCGGTCCTGCAGCTGGAATGAGGTTTGTTGCAACGCCATCAGCCTAATATGGATGCACTGGTCTTCACAGACTCATTCAACCGAAACAAAACCCAGGATGAAATGCTTTTCAAAAGACCACTCAAAAGGTTTAAAGCGTTGCAATTTAAGTTACATCGTGTACCGCATCTATCACCAGACTATCAGTGCATCACCAAAAAGGAAATAGTGAAATGAGATCACAGGCGCAGGGCAAGTTCAATGCTAAAACAAAGAATTACAGAGAATTCTAAGAGAAGGAACATGACAAGGCCTGACCGATTACATGCTTACTAAGCCAAGAGAAGATCAAGTTCCCTCCCTGGTGGGGGTTGGGGGGCGGCGGTAAGGGGTGGAGGGTGACCGGAAGAAACGTGGACTCCACGCAATAAGCATAGAGCGCTGCCCACATAGGACAGAGGGCAGCCTCCCTAGCTGTAGCCAGCCTCAGAGCAATCACACAGCAGGGGTGGGCAGGAGCATTCAAAACTGGGCTGGTTCTGTCGAAAGAGTGGATGAACCACAATGCTTCTGGAAAGCAGTGCGGAACCACAGAGAGAGCCCAGATTACAGCCCTAGAAGAATCGGGTTCCAATTCAGGCTCTGTGGCTCACTGTGTTACTTGGGGACTCTAACGCCAACTTTGCAGATCTGTCGTGAGGGTAAAGTAACGAACATCAAGTTCTTCTACAAATGTGTGTGCCATGGCCCGCACTGCATTATATCCTCTGACATTACATCCTGTGAAGTGACATCAGGTCGCACTGTTTCTCTGACTGTGCCAGGCACAGAAGTTCAGAACAACTCATAGCTCCTAAACATAAAGGCAATTTTATGTATATATATATATATATATTTATCTCTTTATATTTATATATCTCAATATATAAAGGCATTTTTTATAAATAAAATACAATAAAAGGAATAACACTTAAAACAGCGTTACTAATAATATAAATAAAAGCAGTCCACAATGAGATATTTTCTCTTCCTAGTGGACAAATCCCATATTCAAACTCAATCTTTATAAAAGCAGTTTATGACCTAAGGCTCATGCTAATACACCTCTGTTTCCTGAATCAAAATGACTGCCTACAAACATTTACTCCCCAGTTTTCTAAACTCCCTTTGTGACAGCGTCACTGTAACATGATTGGCAAACACAGGGTATATTTTCATGTTCTGTGTACTAGGACTTTGTCCTTTGCTAGTCACAGAAGTAAGGGATGCAGCTATCCCCCTCCAAAGCTAATTGCATCTAAGCAACATGAAGAATAAATCCAGGGTACTACAGGCAAGGATGTCTGGAAGGTAGAACTTGATTCTAGAGCATCCCTAACACCCGACTATGAAATTATATTCACTACTTTCTACTCGAAGTAACCCTTGCATAGTGACTCAGCCTAAACAGCACATTTCACTAACAGTTCTATTTATAAAATATATAGACATATGTAAAGGAATAGTGATGCATTTATATAGCAAGTTGATTAACATAGTATTCTAGTTTATTTCACTGCGATTTCTGGGAAACTGTAACATTTCTTTATGTATGCTGGAACTGCTTACTCCATGGACATAAAGAGAATCATTTTCTGTTTCTTTTCCCAAAGGGATGTACAATCCAAAAAGAGCAGTGATCCACTAAAGCTTGACTCAAGCTATTAAACACACTTAGTGTTTTTTTTTCTTTTTTTTTTCAAGATGTGGAGAAGAAAAGCCAAGGCAGCTGCAAATGTCCTTGTCACTCAGAGGCAGCAGTAACTGTGATTTATGAGCTCTGCTAACCAAAGCTTCATGTGACTGTTTCAAGTGACAACGTTCTGAACAAATGCCGGGGAATGTCAAACCATACAGCTCTCCCTTCAAATTAAATCTCTTCTGACATGCACCTCTTCCAGGTACTGCTCCTACTGGGAGTCAGAAGACGATGATTTGGGGTGACACAGCCCCATGAACATAATCTTACACCAGTGGAGAGTTTCTGCCAACACAGGCCCAAGGAGTCCTCCCTGGTCTTCTGAAAACATGTATCTTTCTCTTTCAAGTTGCCACCTTAACATCTTATTTTACTCCTATTCTTAGAAATAGAAGAGTCCATGGTGACCACTTTCTAAAGGAATGCACTTTAAAGAAGTAGGGTTTGAAAGCATTCTCTCTGGCCTTGGTCCCTTCCTGCATAGCTTAATAACCCAACTAGACTGTAACCTCACCATGTCCAGGACGCTGCTTAGGATTAGTGCCTAGAAAACCGAACACCACTTGTACTCAGGTGCAGACAGTGAGTCAACAGGTCAGCCATCACTTTTGCGAAAGGCACTCATACAATTCATAGGAGATCTGCTATTTAAAACACCAGGTTACAACTGTGGTTGACTTTAACTGTTCTCAGAACGTCCACTAACACAATATTGAAAGATAGCAGAAAACCTGAACAGCCTGTACAATTCCCTCTTAGCTGATCCACCAAGCTTGGTCCTTGCAAGGGGAGCTCTTACTGCCAACAAGGTCCCTGGAAAACCCTCTGATTCCACTGTTCTCTAGATGATTGAAAACTGCAAAAGTAGGTCACTTCCTACTGATCGGGGAGGAAGGAATAGGGAAGGGAATTTTTAAGGCATAAATAATATAAAAGGGCACACATTTTAGGATACATTCATAGGACATCACCACTACAAAAAAATAAATAATGATTTTCTCTGATTTGAATTAATGTCCTTCACAAAGTCCATCCCCAGGTCTTTCTGCGCAGTTCCTGGCTTGAAGTAGGATGTGGCTAGTTGTTTGCACATCCTCAGGTTTCCTGGGGTTGCTGAAGGACCCCTGAAGGGCTGTCTAAAGGAGGATCAGGAGACCATGCTGTCTTTTCAATACAGTCCTCTGAAACAGGTGGCAAAATAAGCGGATTCCAACTTAGAATTTTGTTCTCTGTTTCTGAATGGACACAGCTGTTGCCTGAAAAAGAAAAACAAAAACAAAAACAAAGGTTTGGGAGCCTTGTGAAATGATAAAGGCTGATTTTTACAAAATAGTCCAAAAACATTATTCTGAGTAGTAAAGAAGGAATCATGGGCAAAAGCAGAGCCAGGCTATGTTTAGGAAACTTGAGGGAGACAGTAGATTTAAAAGGTCTAAAATAAAGTTGAGCTCTCATGAACAGTTATATTGGCAGTTAAAGCAAACTCCTTAAATGCCCCCAAATAACCTCCTTAAAAAGAAAGGCTGGAGCTCCAGAACCCACTTTCATGACAAAGAGGCCCATGATCACACAATGCGCTCCTCCAGCAAGTCTACTTTCCAGGTACAAACTGAATCAGCGCCATTTGGATTTATTTTCTAAAAGGTAATGGGATAAACAGCTCGAGGAAGGATGTGATTAGAAAATCTACTTTCTGGGAGGTAGATATCTAACACCCTCCACTCAGCCTCTTTAGAGGAGAGGTGATCACAGAGAACAATAAAAAAAAATCACCTTCCCTTATAGAGTTCTCAGTTAACTAGAAACTTAACATTTAAAGATTTATAATGTCTCCCTGTACCTCTGCTGAACTCTGCTGTATCTTCTGTGCAATCAGAGTTGACCTCATTTCTGTTGTCCCGACAGCACCTATTCTGAGCAGGTCTTGGTGACACATCATCCTTGATGCTCTCCTCAGGGGACTGGCCACAGCCAGGGATTGTGGATGCCAGACACACAGACATCTTCATGTGACTGAGGGGCTTCATTTCCAAACCATCCTGAGCGTAAGGTGCTACCACGGGGACTACAGGCAGTGGGCTGCTGCTGAAGGTGCTGCTGGTTTTGGTGAAACACCTAGAAAGCGTAAGCCAGAAGAAACAGAATTGTGTCTAGAGGGCTTAGTAATCATTGGGCATTTAGTTTTCAGATTCTTGAGAAGATTAATGCTTAAAAATAGCTAAATAGTTCAAAATGACTTGAAATATCAAAAATTAGTTTCCTTGGGTTTCTGAATCTAGTAAGGTATGTGTATGGGATTGGGGGGTTTCCACACCACTGATAAGCAGTTTTGGACACCCTGCTGGTATCCTTTCTGACACTATCTACCTGGAGACAGCATTCACAGGTTCCAGACCCCACAGGCTAAAGGTTCAGTCCAACAAAACAGACCTAGCCACCCCCACACTTCACATACCAGTTGCAAGTCAGGTGTTACCTGGACTTTTGACCAACTGGCTACAAATAAGAGGTTCCCCCAAATTCTTCCCTCCTTGGACTCAATCTGCTAGATCATCTCACAGAACTCAGAAATATTTTACTTTCTAGATTACCAGTTTATTGTAAGTAGATCTAACTCAGAAACAGTCAGATGGAAGAGGCGCACAGGGCAAGGGATGGAGAAGGGACATGGAGTGTCCATGCATTCTCAGACATGCCGGTCTCCTAGCATCTCCACGTGCTCGCCACACATGGAGTCCTTTTGGGGTTCCATGACATAAGCATGATTATTAAGTCTTGGACCATTGGTGACTGAACTTCATCTCCAGTCTCTTTTCCCTCCCTGGAGGTCAGGGAGTGGGACTAAAAGTTCCAACTCTTCAAGCACCTAAGCTTTCAGTCTTTGGTACTTTCCAAAAGTCACCCAATTCACAAACAAAAGAGATCTGTATTGCTCTCATCACAGGAAATTGCAAGAGTCTGGGGAACTGTAAGCCAGGGATTGTGGATCTAACCAAACATACAATTCTCATTATAAACCATAATATCACACCGTTAAAGTAGAATACAACAGGAGAATATATCAAAAGGCAACCCACTTAAGAATGAAATGTCATATGACAGTCCATTCCTTATGTTTCCTTTGCCTTAGTTCCCTGTCAGAGTTGTCTCCCATTTCATAATTAACTGGCTCCTGAATAGAGCACACAGAAGGAAAATGTCACAGCCAATGGAAAAAATGAGGGAGAAAAAGAGGATAGAGTACAGAGAAGACTTATCGTCACATGAGAGACTTTATGGAAGCCAACAAAACAGCTTTGAAATCAGGTATTATGTTACCTCTCACCCTAGGGAGAAACATTATAAGGATTTTAAACATTCAGAATCCAGGTTTCCATTATTTTTCAAATTTTTTTCTTTTGCAGAATTTTAGGATTTATTAGCACTGAGCATTCACTTCAATTTTGTTCTTTTATTTCCTGCTTTCACCTAAGTGTTTTCTTTCAGTTATATTGATCTTCTAGATCACTGACTCTTCTGTTGTCTCCAGTCTGTTTTTTAGCCCATGAAATATGTTTTCCACTTATTGTGCTCTTCATAATAACTTTAGAATTCCATTTGATCTTAGTTTCCATTCTCAATTGAATTTCCCCATACATGAAATTATTGTGTGTATTTTCTTCAAGTCCTTGAATATGTTCATAACAGCTTCTTCAAAGTCACCTCCTAATTGTGACATCTGGGTCATTGCAAGGTCTGTTTCTATCGATCTTTTTTCTTCAGTATCACATTTTCTTAATTCTTCCTATGTATAGTCATAGCTTTGCTGGGTTTTTCCTTCTAATTTTCTGTTTATAGCATAGGTCTCAAACTTCATCCATTCTCTGACACTTCTATTTTGGTCTTAAGACTGGAGAATTCCCTCAAGCAAAAGCCCATAAACCAATGTCACCTATTGTCTTTCAAGGTAAGATTTACTCAGTTTCTGTCTGCTTCTGGTTACTTTCAAATTGTTCACATTTCATCATCATTACCTGTGGATGATTAAGCTATGCCAACATTAACAAAAGCTGGAGTCTCTGAAATAATATTTTTTATTTCCAAAATTGGGAGCAAGAAAAGTATGGAGAAGACATTTCATTTGGCTTTGATTTGGGCATGTTAGGAAGGAAACTTACAGCACTGACCAGCAGTATGCTGGTGCTAGTCAACATTAGGGAATACAGAAAAGAATCATTTGGGGCCTCCTGTGGTGGCACAGGTGGTTGAGCGCTGCGCTGTGAGGCTGTCTGCAGCCTCTGCAGCACCGGTTTGATCCCAGCTGGCCAGTGATGGTCCCACATGGCACAGCAGACCTCTCCTGTGTCATCCGCTGCTCCCCTCAGCAGTGTATTTCGTCAGCTGTGTCTGTTCTCTTCCCCGTTTTGTATCTGGTGAATCGTCTTACCCTCCTGCGTATCTGGCCTGTACCCCGGTTCTTGTATAAATAAATAAATCTTTAAAAAAAAATCATTTGGATTTCCATCCTGCAAGCATGGGGTGGTATGTTTCTGTGACATATGGTAATAAGCAAAAGGAAGTTCAGGTAACCATTATTAGAGGTTCTGATGGTGCAAGTTATTGGAAATACCAAATGTTAAGCGTGAGGTAGATCTGAACCTGAAAGAGAATGAGATATTTGTCAGTAAACCCAATCCTTATTTTAAATTAATAAATTTTAATTTCAAATAGAGAAATTTACTCACTATACACTTGGTGGTATTCAGCACTAGTCATTAGGAATGAAAGCAAAGTATCTCTGGTATTCATCTCTACAAAATATTACCAAGCATGACTATAATTTTAACTTTAATAATGTGTGTGTATGTATGAATGATTCAAATAAAACCTTAGTGTTCTCATGCATATCTTAAGTCCATAAAAAGTAAAGGAAGTAGTGGTAAAAAGGAAGTTTGTTGGGGCCAGAATCAGTACTGGGCTAGATGATTGTGATCTCAGACAAGTAGAGCACTCCACATTTGTTCTGGTGTACATTTTATTTGACTCAGAACTTTGTATTTTTTTCTATATGCTGAAAATGTCCATGCTTATCAGTACCCAGGAAACCCAAGAATCTCCCTGAAGGTACTCGCTTCATTGCTCATCCAAAATGTAGGGCAAAGTAGGAGAGAGGGGAAATTTCCTGAACCAAACTACTACTGATGAGAATTTAGTGGACATTATCCATCTACATAAGTAACCTTATCTAGAAGAATCTTTTATTCTAAAAGTATTTGCTAAATACTTTAAAAGTGCCAGAACGCTGTCGTAGACACTAAAAATACAAAGGTAAAATATAGCAGAGTTCCAGCCACCACTTTAGTGGAGGAGATGGACAAGTAAATAAATGGTTACAATATAAGTTTATATAATGAGTTCTAGAAGTTTACACAAGAAGATGTAAAAGACACTGGAGCACTAACTTTGAGATGGGTTACAGATGTGTGGCTGATGAAAATAGGCATTTCCCACATTACTAGCTAGAGACCTGTGTGCATATTCTTCTGTACTATTTTAGATTGTCTCATTAGGGAGCAATTACAGAATTAAAAATAAGATTCTGATTTCAAAAGCCCAGCATTATCACTGGCCAAGGAAATCGATATTCCTACCATGATTTTTTGGAAATAATTCTTAAAAATGAGATATCTGGCTTCTGGCTATGACTGATTAGTCTGTATCAGAACAATTCCTCTGCCAAGAACAACTGCACAGGATGGAGAAACTTCATTTAAATCTGTTGAAATCATCAGTGAGCCACCACAGCATTTGAGTGGCTGATTCCAGAAAGAAGGTAAATGTGAAGCAGAGTTTTAGCACTTTTCTTTTGGGGGCATTTGCCCGATTGAGTGCAAGATGAAACACTAAGAAGTCAAGCAGGAAGTGGGTAGCTAGGATGCTGAGCAAAACTTTTGGCAGTTTCATGGGGCTGGGAAGACAGAAATTGTACTTCAGAGCCTGCCAAAGAGAAGAGGTCCAATAAACATCCCAGCCATTTGACTGGGACCCTTGCTAAATTGTAAAAATAATGGTGAAACAGAAATAGAAGAGGATTTTACAAACACTGAAACTCAGCATTTAATCAGCTTAATCCCCACTTGGGTTAAAGGGATCTGTCCCTTGCCTTGTTGCCTGCCCAAATCCTTTCTGGAGGAAGAAAAGTGAATCTTTTCTGGAGAGAAAAAACATCTTCCAGAGTCTCAATGACTTTTTAGATACAATGTCCAGAACTGAATAAAAAACTCCCAGGCATACGAGGAGACAGAAACAAGTGACAAAGATGCTGACTTAGGAGGCAAAGACTTTGAAAGAAATGGATGAATACATTCAAGAAAACTGATGACAGGATGGAGGGTTTTAACAGGGAACTAGAATCTAATAATAAAAAATAACTTAAAATGTCTAAGCCCAAACATAGAATAACTAAAATTAGGAACATATTACAAAGTGTTAGGGCCAAATGGGGCACACATGAACAGAGGATTTACTGAACATGAAGCATGTCCTGGCACACTACTGAGACTGAAGCACAAACACAAAAGGATGGAAATATAGAAAAAACTTTAGAGACATAAGGGACACAGTGGAAAGCTCAAAATGGGGATAGATGGAGTCTCTCTGAAGCAGAGGAAGAGAATAGGGCACAAGCCATGGTTTTAAGAATTTCCTAAAACCAATGAAAGCTCATGACCATGGATTCAAGAAGGTCTATGAACCCCAAGTGAAATAAACAGGAAGAAAATAACACCTGTTCAAATGTGAATAATTAAACTGCTGAAAGGAAAACACAAAATGAAAGCAATAAAAAGCAGTCAGGAAAAAAAAAAGACATTATTACCTTGAAAGGGAATAACAGATGTAGAGATAATTTTTCAACATAAATGACAAGCAATGCAATAAAGGAATGATATCTTTAACATTAAAGACCATTAAAGTTTCTTTCTTTCTTTTTTTTTTTTAAAGATTTATTTATTTATTTATACAAGCACTGGGTACAGTCAGAAGCGCGGGAGGGTGAGAGAATTCACCAGAGCCAGAGCGGGAGGCAGAGCAGGCAGAAGGACCGAAGTACACTGCTGAGGGGAGCAGCAGGCAGC